TGATACCTATGAAAACTTCAGATGTGCAATGGAATCTCGTGACGAGCTTCCAGATCTCGAGACATTGAAGATAAAGATTATGGAAGAATTTGGGACAAGAAAGCAAAAACATGTTGATGAACCAGGTGCGATGGCTATTAAGCAAGATGAGAAAAAGAATGAGGAAAAGTGGAAAAATCAAAGGTATGGCAAAAATATAGATCATAAACGGGTACTAATAAAATGCTTTCAATGTGGCAAGCTGGGCCACAAGGCACCAGACTGTTACGCTAAAAGAGTTAACACTAATAGACCACGTGCAAGTTCGGTGCAAGAAATGTTTTATGTGAACCATCTAGAGATGGAAAATGCATGTACAATCACAATGAATCCAGAGCGCACTAACTGGTGTTTGGATAGTGGCTGTACCAAACACTTGTGTAAAGATAAAGATAAATTTGTTGAATTGCATCAATCAGAACATAAAAAGTTGAATTTAGCTAATCATACGTCAACAAATGTCGTTGCTAAAGGAAATGTACAGATTCAAACATGCCTTGATGATAATATTAAAGATATAGAATTTCAGGATGCTTTGTATGTTCCTGATCTTACAGTAAATTTAGCATCCGTAGCAAGGATTACTTAAAGGGATAATATAGTAATCTTTACCAAAAGTGGAGCTATTGTAAGAGGAAGCGATGGAAGAATAAAAGCAAAAGCAAATAGGGTTGGAAATTTGTATTTCGGAGCATGTCAAAAATGTGGAATCTGACTGAAAATCATAATCTAAAACTTGTAACAGTACTTTTTCTATACTATGTCTTACTTTTTACACGTTTGGTAACGGGGAATTTTTAGGTTGTCTGACAAGAAACAGCGATAGATATCTGGTAGAAATCTGCTTATATATTTTCGGAAGAGTCATACATCAAGGAACTTTTACGACCGGAATTAATATTCTTTAATTCAGAAAACGCGGAGCGCCACTCCTGGCTCGTAGTACAACAATTTATACCGAATAACTTTAGAAAACGCGAACGCCACTCCTGGCTCGTAGGACAATGCTTTGTTGAACGACCTATTGAAATAATCTCGGTTCTTGTGAGAATGAATAGAATCCAAGCAATTGATATATATATATATATATGAGATTATCAGAACGACGAGAGGTCTTGCCCTTGCGGGATAGAGTCGCACGTCGCTGATGTGCACAAAGTCTTTGCGTTCCGTGATATCTAGGAAATGTCCAGAGGCACTTCCGTGGTCTCTTGGATTTTTCCAGATTCAGTGGTTCGTTCAGTACCGTGCTTCCTCACACACAATAGATGGAATTTTCGCCGGAACGACAATTGCACACTTGCCACCAGTAATGGGTAGGCATGCACTGTCGGCGGTTGCTATTAGATGTCTTTAAGATTCGACTGATAAGAACCGAAATTATCAATTTAACGCAACTAATGGTGTAACTTGTTACGTTGGGCGAGACTATGTTTATTTGGCTATCTTGGCATTATTGCTTAGAACAACTAAGAGGTCTCGGCAGGGCACGATTACGTGACCTCGACGATTTCTCTGTTTCTAACAAACAGTGACCTTGACGTTGATACTATTTCGTTACATGAATATTGAAAAGAATTGTTTTGAATATATAAAACGCGAAGCACGAATCATATGTGCCACAAACCCAGGAGTCACAAACTGAGTCGCGGCACTGCTTCACGGAATTTGTATTTCACTGGTGTTGACGTGAACCGAATTAGTGTAACAAAATTTGGATGTAATAAATTCTTTAAACTGACTACTACGACGAAACCTTGGTTATTCGCGAACGGGTATCCCTTGTAGCAGTGCCGCGGCTCAGTTTGTGCACGCAACTCCTCGGTTTGAGGCACTTACACGAAGACAGTAGATCGGCAGTTTGACGATTGTACCAACTCGGTTTGACTCGCCTTCGCGTACCGTTTCTCGCCCAACGGACCCTCGTATTTCGCGTCTTACCGCTAGCGCTTTCGAACGTAGAGTGCTGGATCATCGATCCCGCATCGAGCTCCTTCGATCGATCCTAGGTAGGGATCGATACCGCGTGGGGATCGATGCGCACGCATCTCGAGCAAGTGGGAATCGTTGTCGTTTAAGGGGTATGCCCCTACTGACCCGACTATGTATTTATGTACCATAGTACATGGTTACAAACTATGGCACGAACGCCTAGGACATTTGAATCTGAGAGATGTAACATATATGGCGCGGACGAAGAAGGCGATAGGCAACAAAATTCAAGGAAAAACTGGCATACTGTCATGTGAGAAATGCATACAAGGCAAGTTGACGTCCACACCTTTTCCAAGAGAACCTAAAAGAAGTGCCAGGTTGTTGGAGATTGTACATTCCGACTTATGCGGATCTATGAGAACAAAATCAATAGGTAGGTCTAAATAACATTCATTGACGATCATTCAAGGTGGTGCCAAGTAGATTTTCTAAAATCGAAAGATGAAGTTTTACAACGGTTCAAGGAATTTAAAAACTATGCTGAGAATTTGACTGACAGGAAAATAAAGTACCTACAAACAGATAATGGTCGAGAATTCCTAAAAGATGAAGGAGATCAGAGGCGGTTGACAGTTCCACACACGCCGCAACAAAGGGTACAGCAGGATAAGATGGTCAAAAGTGCCCTTGAGCCGATTTTACTTCGCAATGCACCATTCGATAGCTTATCCCAAAAAACCATGCTACACCAAGTTTCAACCCTGTACCTCAATCGGGAAGGTAGTTACAGGGTAAGAAAGAAAAAGTAGTTTTTGCCATATTTCTCCTATTTAACAATACGCAAGAAATCTGCAAAAATTCTAAAATATTCTAGACATGTTTCTTTATGATTGTGAATTTTTTCAGATTTTTCGGTTGTAAATCCCAGGCGTGAAAAATCAAAAACGCAAAAAAAAGTCGAAAAATTGAGATTTCGGGTACAAGCTTCCGAGACTGTTACGTGGCCGAAAGCTAGGCAGCGCGTATGGCTAGCGAAGGCTTTCAGGTGAGAGGCCGCGTAACTTATATTGTAACAATACAACCCGAGCGGTTAGGTTGTATTGTTGTAGGAACTGTCATTAGGTTCACTGGGTTTGAAGAAAGATGCTAATGAAAAATTTTACAATCTCAGGCTATTACAGTTGTTCTTGGCGCGAATGTAGGTGTGTACTGTATATTACCTATTTCGCACTGGCAATGCGGGGGTGTTGTGTGTGGTTAATAATAATGTCAAATAGAAACACTGATTCGACTCGCGGATTCTATAAGGTTAAACTTTGCTCGAAGGGGACTCTAACTCGATCTCACTAAACAGCAACCAGCTTACGTTCGTACACGATGCGCTCAACACTAGATGAACTTTGGTACTGCCCCGTAGAGCGTCGGTACAAATGTGTTTATATACTAACTAGCCGTGTTACCTGGCGCTGCCCGAGTGGTATTTTGTCTGAGTGTATGAGAAAAAAAGTTGAATGCTGAATGTGGGAAGCAGCACCGACAGCGTCGCCATCCATCCCCACCGCTGAGGTACGAAGGTATTCCCACTACTATGTCAACACTGCAGTGGTGGGGATTAGCAGTTCTGCTGAACTGTTCTGCGCTACGATTTACACAAACGAAATAAACAATATTTTATACATTTTCCGATGCAACAGCGTAATAAAACTGAGCTTATGTCCTTCGCAAGGTTATAAGGAACACATCTAAAAAAAATCGAAGCAGTAGATTTGGAGATTACCCTGTACAAAGAAAATGCTTACAGCTTTATATATTAGTATAGATGAGAAAGGGTGATCTGGTTATTATTCAGATGATCGGGCTGGGCCCATCTGTTCGGTAATGGTTTAGAGTAGTTACATCTGTTATGTGATTACGGTGGACCCATTGCTTTCCCAAAACATTTAGTTCTGTTATCGCTGTGCCTTCTGTTTATTTCAAGAGCAAGCGGCCTGTTTGCCTGACAATGTGTTCCGTTCGACGGAACATCTACACGAGGATTTCGAAGGTTAGTTTATGACAGGACCGTTAGGCTGTGTGAGCTAGGACATTTCAGGGTTTTTTTTTCTTTCAATTTAGTTTCTCGATTTCTTCTTTGTATTCACGATTTAATTTTCTTTTTGTCCTCCAGCCGTTTTCCTGTCATAAACTCGGTTATTCCGAAAGGCGAATGCAGAATGGTTACTTCCGGACGTTCGGTACCTTCTGGTCGGCAAATGTTCGCCTGGAGGAAAAACTGCGGTGTTGCCGGACTTTCGGGGTCCTCTCAGTGACATCGGTCTCGCCCCACCCTTTCTAGACGAAGACGCGCTAAGGGCGCTAGAGAGGGTGGACCCAAACCTCAAGGGACGCGCTGATTGGTATTTTACATTTTTCCGATGGAGTACCAGTCAGTGCACCCCTTCCGACTCCAACGTCTTCGCGGAGGTCGAGTCGAGAGCGTCTCGACACTTACGTTTTTACGAACCATCAAAACAGACGTACTTTAATTAAATCCTCTGGTCTCATCCATTCGGAGATCCGAATCAAAACAGGAGTTTTACAAATAAAAATTTGAAAACCCGCATCGCGACCATCAACGAACTCAAAAGTGACGTTGAGACTTACAATCCAACGGAGGAATAAATCCGCGTAGGTGTTCGCGACGAAGCAACGAAGCGCGAAGTTGCCATCGTAACATTGGTCCTTCGAGCCGGATACAAGATCTACGGACAAACAGTGCAATCGTGATCCACAACCAAGTGCTAAAGTGATCTGTGGGATACAGCAAATTTACACGGAGTAACTCAGAGGTTTGCGGAGCAGGACGAAGCGATAGGTCCAGAGGAATCAAGCCGGGAGCATATAATTGGGTCAACGGCATCCATTCCTGCCCACGACAACTCCAGCCAGCAACGTCGCCGCATCAGTCAAGGTAGGCTCGTTGAGAATTGCCGATTGTTTCCCTTCTTTACAATTTCCTCCCTCGTTTCGATCTCATTACGTATGAAATGGCGACCGCGTCCACTCACGACTCTGGGTCCGATCAATTGCCGACGATTCGGTTAATGAAAAATAAGCGCCGCACGTTCAAGGCGCAAATCACGATTATTGGTAAGTCGCTCGAAACTTACCAGGATTCAACAAAGGAGCGCGATTCAACAAAATTGCAAAGACAATTTGAAGGATTCAATGAAATCCAAGATGAGATGGTCACGGCCATTACGCTGTTGCAAGAAGCTGAGCAGTCCACGACGCAGCATCCTTCGACAGCACCGAGAACCGCGAACAAATCGCCAGCGTCTTCAACGTCTTCAGCCGCGATCGGACTCCATCTCCCGAAGATCGATTTACCGAAGTTCGATGGTCGACTGGAAAAATGGATCGTGTTCAAGGACGCTTTCCAGACCATAATACACGCGCATCCCGGACTGAACGACATACAAAAGTTGCATTATCTACGTCTATCATTGTCGGGCAAGGCTGAGTCCGCCATCGAGTCCTTTACGATCAGCGAGGATAATTACAAGACGGCTTGCACCAACTGATCGAGACGTATGACAACACGCGAGCGCTCGTCCTCCGGCATTCCGCGTTATTTCGCGACACACCCGCGATGCATGATGATACGGCCGAAGCGATTTGCGATTTGGTAAATCATATGCAATTCCAGATTCGCTCCTTGCACGTATTGGGAAGATCATGGGAGGATCTCGCGAATGATTTATTGACTAGCATCGCGATATCGAAAATGGGTCCGCGCACGAAGAGAGAATGGGAACAGACATTATCCGACACAACGATGCCGAAAATCGCGGACATCTTTCGGCATCTCCGCAACGCGTCTCATCGTTGTAGGAACGAAAATTCGTCGTCGATCACACATCAGACTCCGGTTTCAAACGCTCATCGGGCTCCATCGACGAATAACGCGCCATCGACTCAAACATCTTCGAAAAATTCGTCAACGTTGTCGAGACAATCGCCGATGCTTCCGAAGAAACCCGCATCGCCGCGAACGAACAGACGACAAGCATTCGTCGCAGACTCCGGAACAAGCTGCAAGATTTGCAACACCGGTTCCCATCCAGCGTTTCAATGTGAGCAATTTTTGGATATGACAGTTAAGGACAGACTACAGGCTGCACGCAAGGCCAATCTTTGTCTTAACCGCCTTCAAACTGACCGCGCCACCGGAGCTTGCAACGGAGGGAAGTGTCGCGTTTGTCACGGGCATCACAGTACCAAGCTCCATCAAGATGCTACACCTCAAGACGAATTCAGAAAACCTTGACAATATGCGAAACCTACAGGACGGTCAACATCACGTCGACAAGGCATCTCTCTCGGATCGGACGAACAAACGAACGGAACACAATGAGAGTATTCCTTTCCAGATGTTAACGGTTTATTTCTTAAGAGAGGCATGTTAGGTCGATGATAGGTCTTGAGTATTTACACGGAGTACCGTCTGCAGGTTATAGAAGGACCACCCAAGTTGATCGGCTTGGGACCGATAAAAATTGTGTTGGTTGTAGGTTAAAGTATTTAATAGTTATTGACGGTTGTGTGTGTGTGAGCTACAACGTGTGGATCGGAGTGTGAAAATTCTTTACATTTGAAGAAAACTCTATGTATCTATCTCTAAGCTCTGTATGTTCTGTGTTCTATCTAAGGAATCTCGCCTCGAGCGACTTGAAGTCGATTATATAGACACGGTTTTTTCTCTCCAGTACGCCCTTGGCGTGGTAGATTCTGAAAGGGGAATGTGCCCTTCGTACGGGGGAGGAAAAATGCGAGCTGGTCTGGGTTTTCCAGAAATAGCACGTAGTTCCTCGAGGTCAACGCGCCACTTTAATCATTGTGGCAGAGTCACCCTTCGGGTCTGTGTAATTTATGACATGGCCTTTCCATTGATTCTAAACTCTGCCAGATACCATTACGGCTCTGGCAAGCATATGGCATGGGTAAACTATCAGGTACAAAAAATAGCTATTTCTAGACTTGTCATGTCATAAACCGCGCCTATTCTAACAAGGTATGTTTGACAAAAACGGTCTGCCTACGTGACAAGACAATAGATTATGTATTGTTCTAATTACGGATAGCTTCCAATATTTTGTTAATTGAAGAGCCGCGTAATTATTGATTTATAATGGATATGGAAAGCAATATACAGGGTGTTCGCGCGTTACGCGCTTCCGAGGGACACGATATATTTTTGTAACACGCGGGGAGTTTAGGAGGCGTGCGATATCGGTAGCAACCGGCTGAGGCACGGATGTAGGGACGAGCGCGTTCGTCATCGGAAAAATAATTCGTGGCGATGCGCTGGTACGTGAGCGGCGGCTTGTGTGCGGCGATTTTTAAAAAAGAAGAGAATGCATCTTGTACGGCAATGGCGAAGCTTGGGGTTCTTCTTGGCAGCGGCTTGGACAGATACATAGCTCGACGAGGCACTAGCTGCTTTCGTAAAGGAGATCTGCCCTGCCAATCTCTCTAAACCCCTCCTCCTCGTGGTGTGGCCCGGGCACCGGTTTACCGGTGGCAAACGGGGCTCTGGCTGTGGACGTTAAGCGCCTGGTGGGATGAGCTGAGACCACGCAGGTAAGCTTGATAAAAGTCAGAGCGTCCTAGAACAAAATCCTTATACGCCGACGAAGAGTTTGGTGTTGTGTCTTCTCCCCCGTGCGATGATTGGTTCGCCATGAGCGGGATTGCTCCGGCCCGTCTCCCCTTGGTACGGAGGTTGAGTTGGGTGGTGGGTAACTCAAGCGCTATGCGCCATTTAACACCGCCGGTATAAGCGAAAGCTTCGGAACGGCAGAGCGGGTTTCCCAACCCCACAAGGCTCTTTATTGACAATAACCTGCCAATCTCTCTCTGGGATCCCCCAACCAGGCGGCATTACGTTGCCCGAACAGCAACGCGCGACGAGGGCTGTACCCGTTCCTGAGACGTCAGGGTCGCGCTGTCTGCACAGGTACGATTCCATGGGGCATGTCCCACTTTATTAAGAGCCGAGCAGTACTTCCCACCGGGCTGGTGGTGTTCCGGACCCCGAGTAGTTAGTAAGAGCGCTCCTTTAGAATAACATGTATGCTTCCGAATTCGAGTACAAACTAAACCTAACTGTATTGAATTGTAACTTTATATTTTCTCGTTGACGGTTTTTTCCTCCACTCACTGGGTGGAGGTTGTTTATGCCCATTAAAATCCTATTTTTCCCTTTCCAATTCTGCCTTTATTACTCCTTCTCCCAAATCCACATTCCTCTACCTATTTAGAATTCACCTTAAGAGTTGTGTTGGTGACCCATGCCTGCTGTGGACGTACGCCCGGCAAATCGACGCCAAGCTGCCGCGCCTTGAAGGTAACTGCGGATTCGGCTCAGCCAACTTTTATTTATTAAATTTACAATAGCTTTAAGAAAATCGAGACACACGGTGTCCCAGAACTGGGGTAGGAGCCGAAGAGGGATGATTGGTGAGGTCATTCTAAGCAACTTTTTCCTTTGCCAAAATGTTAGTGAAGGCTTCGTTTTCGAGTTATTAACGAAAAACACTGGCCAATCAGAGCGCGCCGTTAGTGCGGGCCGAACCACGAGAGTGTAGGGTATCCTCCGCGCGGTCGTGATCAAGTGCATTGGTACTACGTCGGTATAATAAGATTTGTTGGGCAGAAGTTGCATCGGATAATGAATAAAAAAAAGAAAAGAATAATAGTATCAAATTATTGATTGCTCATGAACCACGAATAAAGTAAAGAATCGTTGTTCATGTAGAATGAATAAATCGAATTGATCTAACACTTTCATTAGTTGTATGATAGGAATTTAAAAAAAAGATACTTTGTAAGCATTTTTGAAACAAATATGAAAAAATGAATACACGATTTGGAAATAAAAAAGTTTTCACATACTAAAAAAAGGATTGAAATGAAGTAACTAATAAACGTGTTAAATTCGAAAACATTCAAAAATGTAATGAAAACGGTTTGTTGTCACTGGGTCATTGCGCCGGTCCTGAATATTTGAGGAGGGAACACATTGTGAAGAACAGCTGATCTCGAGACGAGATCATTAAACTCACTCAACCGCACGGTCACTATCACTTTTCACAGAATTTCACTACATGATCCGAAAGGATCCAATTCTTTCAAGTAAATAAATATTTGCATTCACTGTCACGTTGCTATTACACTCGGCACAAATGAAAAACATGTAATATTCTGCACTACGACGTAACGTTTTCACAACGTTACTTTCCAACTTTAGATGAGACTGTAGGTCGAGCGTCTGCGAGGTTTTTTTCGCTCTTTATCCTTTTCTACGTTCGGCTATATTCAAAGGATCGACACGAGCCTCTCTCACTTACTCTCGGTTACTTCCGATTGTAGAAAAAGACAAAGAGCGAAACAGACTTCGCAGACGCTGAAGCTAGTAGTCCCATTTGAAGTTGGAGAGGAAGATCAGTAACGTCGTGAAAACGTTATGAAATAGTGCGGAATATTACGTTTTTTATTTGTGCGCAGTGCAATAGTAACGTGACAGTGAATAAAAATATTTATTTAGTTGAAAGAATCGGTCCCTTTCGCACTACGTAATGAAATTCTGTGAAAAGTAATAGTGACCGTGTGAGTGAGTGAGTTGAATGATCCCGTCTGGAGATCAGCTGTTTTTCCTAACGTGTTCCCTCCTCAAATGTTCAGGATCGACACAATGACCCAGTGAAAAATCATTTTCATTGCAGCTGGATTATTTATAGATGAATTGGTAAGTTTCATTTACATTCAATCCTTTTTTTATTATTTGCAAATTTATTTTGATTTCCAAAACGTGTATTCGTTTTTCTCATTTTTTTTCAAAAGTGACTACCAAGTATTTTTTTTAACTCCTATCGTACAACAAATAAAAGTGTTGGATCAATTCGATTTATTCATTCTACATGAATAACGATTCATTACTTTATTCATTGTTCATGAGCAACCAATAATTCGATACTATTATTCTTTTCTTTTTTTTATTCATTATTCCATACAACTTTTGCCCTGTTAGATCGACGTGGTGCTGACGCACTTGATCACGACCACAGCTTGAACGCAGAGCATACCCAACACTCTCGTGGTTCGGCCCGCGCTAAAGGCGCACTTTGATTGGCCAATGTTTTTCGTTAATAACTCGAAAACGAAGCCTTAACCAACATTTTGGCAAAGGAAAAAGTTGTTTAGAATGACCTCAGCAATCATCCCTCCACGGGTCCCACCCCAGCATGACGTATCCTGTATACTTTTATTAATTAAAAAATATTTATTTGAAGAAGTTAATAACTTTTTCTAAAAATAATTCTCAGATTGCACGTTCCTTCGGTTCTTCAGAGTAGGCATATATTTTTCAGCAGCGAGGGGTGATACGATGCGCTATATAAAATCCACGCGTTTGGTCAGTCAGAATTTATCGAAGCGGGACAATTCTATCATTTGGGTTGAAAGAAGGATAGCATGATTACCGTACATCTCACTCTAAACACGCGCCAATGTTTCGCTTTCGTTCTTTAGGCGTATCTTCACAATGCCTCTAGCGAGATGAGCGTTTGAATGTGTTTGTAGAAATACTTGTTGCCTTCCTAGATCGTGTTGCGCGCACGTCAGCTGAGAATTAAACCTTTCAAGTTCGTAACAGAACACGCAATTGGCTCCGCCAGGCCCAACGAAAAAACTGCTGTAATACCGACGTCCCGAATCGGAGAGGTCACGTGCCGTGTCTACCCCCTTAAGAAATTTTATTACGAATTCTGTATCATTCTTCTGTTTAGCCTAAGGTTTTATTTAGAAATACATTAATTCTGTTCTAAGCAATTCTTTTCTTGGTTGAATTTTACTTTGAGCACATAAAGTCTTGACCTTTTCTATGTATCTTGATGGTATTCAAGGAGAAAAATTCAAAAATGCAGCTTTTAACGCTTTTAGCGTACGTTCTAGATTAATTATGCTATACGTCTCGTTCTCGATGATAATCTGTAGTAATGCTCGTCATTGCTAAATTTTCATACATTTTAGAGTATAAGTCTTGAAAATTTTTTGGCGCCTAGCCTGTGATATCCGGCCGTGGCGCCACCTATAATCATATTGTTTCGTTGTGTATAAAGTTTCACACGTGCCGAGTAATAAGTGCAATATAAAATTACCAAAAAACTACTTAATAGTAAAGAATTTATTATGTCAGGGGATAAAAAGAAAAAAGGATCCCGTTCACGATCAAGGGAAAGAAATAGGAAGAAGCAAAAAACGGATGAAAGATTCGAAAAAATAGAAAATCAGATTAATAACCTCACAAAGGTTATTTCTCAGCTGGCAGAGTTAAATAAAGCCGCTGATGGAAAAAACTTGAATCAAAGCGCAGGTAAATATTAATTAGGAACACTAAGATACACGAGTCTCCATACGAAACCGTTATCATGCTACATAAAGTATTTAGTCTCCATAAGAGACATTTACTTATAATATATCTACGTATATGTAAACAATACATACACACAAAACTGTCCATACGACAAAACCGTCCATACGACAAAGCTGTCCATACGACCAAGGTCTATAAGACAAAAACGCCTACAATAAAGTCCATACGACTAACAAGTCCGTATGACAAAGAAATAAATATTTAGGAATAAATAACAATGTACACAATAAGTGTAATCATGCGTTAAAAATGTTCTCTTCCAGACAAAAACCTGGATAAGGAGAACGTTGATACAGGCAACCTCACCCAATCACAAGAGGCTGAGGAACCACTCGATATCGCTAGTACGGAAGATAGGGAAATACCCGTAAATAAAACTCCCATCAATGAGGTTATGTTAGAAATGCTAGGAGAGCATCCTGACACCAAAAAAGAAATACGAATAAAAATAAATTAAGAACTAAAGATTCGCTGGCAAAGATGGATGCAGGAGGGTTACCCGGAGGATAAAAAGAAAAATATCCTCGAAACCTATCCTAGAAAGGACGATTTCTACACGGAGGCACCAAAAGTAAACATAGAAATTGGTCCAGTCATGACAGAAGTAGCCTTAAAACGAGATGAACACTTTGCGGAGACACAAAACTGTATTGGCTCGGCGATTTCGGCACTAGGTGCGGCAGTGTCCATGATTCTGGAAGAACCGGAAGACGGTATCGACCAGGAGGCGCTCATGAAATACTTATGCGATACGGGAAAACTATTAACGGACGTATTTCATCAACAGTCCAAGGCACGAAGAGCCTTCATTACCCCACTAATGAACAAATCGGTTAAGCCAACAGTTGATGCTACCAAAGCAGATGAATGGTTGTATGGCAAAAAATTTGCCGAACAAGTAAAGGAGGCTAAAGATATAGAAAAGGCCTGCTCTAGCATTAAGGCAACACCTAAAACAATAAACCCCAAATCCAGGGACCAGGGAAACTCGAAGTACCCACCTGCAAAATACAAGCAGGTGGGGAACCAACAGAAAAAATCTGTAATAAGATTCAAGTCCAGGCCTCAGCGAACAAGTTACAGCACGATAAAAGCATCGAGCTGGGCGGCGAGTCATCGTCTGCCCCCAAGGAAGTAACTGAGGCAAGCATACCGGCAGGCCGCCTGAAACACTTTATAAAAAACTGGGAACAATTCACCGATGATACATTTGTTCTAGAATGTCTAAAGGGTTATAAAATACCTTTTAAAACAACTCCATACCAATTAAGACCGCCAGCAGAGCCAAAGTGGGCTAGACACAATCTTATTAAAATAAAACAAGAAGTTAACAAACTACTAGCTAAAAAAGTAGTAGAACCCTGTGAAGACGAAGATAATCAATTTATTTCCTCTTTCTTTCTAGTTGACAAACCAGATGGTTCCAGCAGATTTATTATTAACCTAAAAAATTTAAACAAATTTATTGATACTACCCATTTTAAAATGGAGGATATTAAATCCGCTAAACACTTAATATCTAGAGGTGCATATATGTGTTCAATAGATTTAAAAGACGCATATTACCTTATTAATATTCATAAATCCTTCCGGAAATTCTTAAGATATAGATTTCAAGGACAGATGTTTCAGTTTACATGTTTACCTTTTGGCTTATGCACAAGTCCCTTTACTTATACAAAAATCATGAAACCAGTCATGCATAAAATTAGGGAACTAGGAATTCTGTCAGTTATATACATAGATGATATCTTAACAGTTGGAAATTCAGATAAATCCTGTGAAGAAAATTCTACTCTGGTAAAAAAGCTGCTGGAACGATTAGGCTTCATCATAAACTATCAAAAAAGCTCACAGACTCCCAGTCAAAAATGTAAATATTTGGGTTTTATTATCAATTCATTAGACCTCAGATTAGAGTTAACAGACAGTAAGAAGGAACAGATAAAATCACTAATTAATACCTTTGAGGAAAACAAATACTATAAAATTAGAGACTTTGCAAAACTGCTGGGAAAGCTGTCTGCAGACTGCCCAGCAATTGCATATGGGTCTATCTACTGCAAAAGACTAGAAAGACAAAAATATTTATCATTAATTTTAAATGATAACGACTACGACGGTCGAATCTACGTTAATAAGTTAATAATGAGCGAACTATACTGGTGGAAAATAAATATACCAACAGGCTCAAACCCAATTAGAACCCAACAGTTCAAACTTGAGATAGCTTCAGACGCATCTTTGACTGGGTGGGGTGCACACTGTAACGGTGTAAATAGTAATGGCTTCTGGACGATCGAGGAAAGAAAGTTTAGCATAAACTATCTAGAATTGCTAGCAGCACACTTTGGCCTGAAATGTTTCGCAGACAAACTATCAAATTGCGAAATTCTCCTAAGAATTGATAACACGGCTGCAATATCCTATATCAACAGAACAGGTGGCATTCAATATCCCCATTTAAACGATTTAGCCCGAAAAGTCTGGCAATGGTGCAAAAGGAGAAAAATTTGGATCTTCGCGTCTTATATCCCTTCAGTTCAGAACACAGAAGCTGATCGAGCATCAAGAATATCTAACATAGATATAGAATGGGAACTATGTAGTAAGGCATTTGAAAAAATCAACAGGAAGTTTGGAGCCTTTACAATTGACCTTTTTGCATCAAGATTAAATCGAAAATGTCCTAGATTTTGTTCCCGTCTTCCAGAACCCGATACAACGACAGTTGACGCTTTCACCATTCGATGGTCGAAAGAAAAAATATATGCCTTTCCTCCTTTCGCACTTATTCTCAGAACCTTGCGAAAAATAATAATTGATGAAGCGGGGGGAACATTCGTGGTACCATTGTGGCCAACACAGCCCTGGTACCCGCTCTTCACATCACTGCTCATAGAATCACCTATAATATTTAAACCTCATAAAGATCTATTATTGTCCCCTTCCAGACAGGGAATACATCCACTGGCACACAAACTTTCAATGGTGGCCGGGAACTTATCCGCAAAGCGTTTCTGAATAAAGGAATCAATGAAGCATCAGCCGACATCATGGTCAAGTCTATAACACCATCAACAATTAAGCAATATCAGAGCCCCCTAAAGCTATGGTGGGAGTTTCCTACATCAAATAATATATCAACCTTTGATGCGAGCGCAATAGAGGTTCTGCGATTTTTAACAGAAAGGTTTAATAATGGAGCAAGCTATGGGACTTTAAATTCCACCGGGTCGGCTATATCACTCATCTCTACACAAGATATCGGCAAAGATAAACTGCTGGCACGATTTTTTAAAGGGATATATAAGGAGCGACCCCCAAAACCCAAATATGCTAGTACATGGGACACAACACCAGTGTTACAGCATATAGAACGACTTCACCCATTAGATTCACTAAAGCTAAAGGAAGCAGCAGAAAAAGTATCAACTCTACTTATTTTATCTACAGCACACAGGCTCCAGACTATCGCATTAATCGATATAAGAAATATTTCTGTTGGTAAACTAGAAAAGGACGCTATATTCGCAAGGTCTGTATTAAATACATCTAAGACAGTATAATTATTTCCCTTGTAAGGCAAACAGTCATGTGACCTAAAACAATACATGAATAAAAATGTACAACCCTAAACAACAAATGAGTTTTCGAATACGCTAAAAGTCTACAGATTATCATCGAGAACGAGACGTATATCCGAAGGCGGGCGACGTTCGATCGAAATTATGCGACACGTCTCGTTCGAAGATGATCACTTTCCCACCCCATACTACAATACCCGCAGAAAAATACACCCACGATCATCTAATAGTGAAAACTCAATTGTAAAACGCTAAAAATATGATTATAGGTGGCGCCACGGCCGAATATCACAGGCTAGGCGCCAAAAAATTTTCAAGACTTATACTCTAAAATGTGTGAAAATTTAGCAATGACGAGCATTACTACAGATTATCATCTTCGAACGAGACGTGTCGTATAATTTCGATCGAACGTCGCCCGCCTTCGGCGGGCTCGTTTGATCACTCAAATTTGACGTCATATTAACTTCTGTCTATAATCTGATTGATTCACGGAGACTAGCATCAAAATGCTGTTACAAAACCAATTTAACTTAACACGTGCAAAGCAGATCTAGATATAATAAAAATTTGAGTTATTCCATCAAAATGAATGCTACCTACTTACTTGCATCTCTTTACAGTTTACAGGCATAATAGACCTACATATATGTATAGACAGAACATGAGCTGTCACTTTAGGAGCGGAAACTCTTACGATTGGAGGGGTAACGGTAGAAGTTCAGCAGTGGTAAATCGATTAGGTCTTGGGTGTATTTGGCTCGTGTCGATTGAACATAGGACTGCATTGTTATGGAGTTAGCCGATTTACCACTACTCGCCTCTTAGCCGCGAAGCTTTCCTCCTCTCTAGGCTAACGCTTAGAGTTACCGTCTATGCATACCGGGCTCAAAAGATAGTGGCCAAACTCTCTTCGGTTAGTGGCCGACTTTACACGATTTTCGTTTTCTTTGCGAATATTTCTATACTTGGTTTAGGTCGCAAACCAATGGCAAACACATTGTCCAGAACCATAGTTCATGAAATCCTGTGGAAATATTCGCCAAAAAATCGAAAACCATGTAAACTAACTATGTGAGTCCGGTGTACTTATGTGTTTGACGGGCATCGACTTCGCTCATTGGACGAATTATGAATAGAAGTCAATATGACGTCAAAGTAACCTATCCAAATGTGTTTAGAACGCTCAATTTTATAATACACCCTTTGAACAGATGGATTTCTAAAGTTAAAATTTGTATAACTAATTGGTCGCTAATAATAAAAGAAATAAAAAAAAAAGGCTTGGCTTGCTTCTTCACATATCAGGCGCTGCAAGCTGATTTGGACTGTTTCTTTGCAAAAGCAACTGTCGTAATTTTTGTATTTCTGCGAGTGCTCTCTCGTCATGAGGTTTAACAAGGACTTTGTTTGGTGCTAAATCAGATAGAACTAGACCACCTACACTTTTTACACGACTAAGTGCTACGTAAATTTGGCCTTTTGCAAAATTCTTTTTGCCAAGATCAATTACAGCTTTGTTCAACGTAGTCCCTTGTAATTTGTGCACCGTTACTGCCCAACTTAGAATAAGTGGTAACATTCTGCGCTCGACGTCTCCATAATCTTTTGTCGCTTGAAACGTTGCTGAAACTGGAGATATTGGAATGTTACCATCAATATCTTTGAATCTATTTCCAATGGATTCGTCGTCAAATTTTATAAGTACTGAATCCAGCAATTCTCCCTGTTCTAGTTGATCTCTTCGAAGTGCCGGCCATGTAAATTTCTTTACTATTCCCATTGCGCCGTTTATCAAACCATCAGAAATTGATAGGTTTCGTCGCAGCATAATTCGCGATCCCTCAGTTAATGTTATTGTATGTAACAGTCCGCCACAAATATTTACATTTACAGGTATGACATTTTCTGGTGGCCTTTTTCCATATGTAGCTGCCTCACGGGACTCATCTATTGAATCAATGACGTACATTCGACGTGATTTTGCTAATTCATCTGTCATTTTTGTGTTATATTCATCCATTAATTTTATCGTTGGGAATATTCTTACTGCTGCACCATCCTCGAACTCTCCGGTTAGGGGAACTCTTCTTCGTTCGCATAGTATTTGTAGTTGAGAAGTTGTCACTTCTCCAAACCGAAGGTTATTCAGTAAGTCGATAAACTCAACGTCATCTCTTTGTCGCATATTAATGGTTAGTTTGCAGAATGAAAATTGGTGCCATAAATTAATTTCTGCAGTTCACCAATGTGGCTGTTCAAAACACCAGTGTCCTTTTACTGGGGGCAACTGCAAATAGTTTATCATTGCTTTTGAATTCTTGCAATCTTAAATGAATTATTCGCAAATTCTCATAATCAACCACCTTGTATAACGCCACTTTCGTCTCTCCTTTTCGAGCTTTTGTCCTGTCAATCGCTGATACGTCATTGCAGTACCTTTTTCAATAGGCAAGGAGAACATGGAATGCAGAGTTTTCCCGAATATTTGACGGGCGGCGACGCCAGTCAAAGAAGCTGCTTCAATAAAAGATGGTTTTATCATCGTCTCAACTGTAGGATTATAGGAGCGTTTAACATGTTCAACAAGTAATTTTAAAATAAACGACATACCGCTACCAGCTCCTCCGGTAATAAAAAGCAACATTTGTTCCGTATTTTCATTATCATTTTCTTTAACATCTTTCTCAATTACTGCGGAAACTGATTTCAATAAGTCTTTCTGTTGAATATTAAGACATCGAATACTATTAAGGAACACGTCTTCTGGCATTGCAATTCTTTCTTGCTGTTGATTTTCATATAAATCAACTTGATCGTAATGTATTGTTTCGTCAGCATGAATTCTGACTGGATCTCTTAAATGTTCATTGGTTTCTTCTTCGTGTACAACATTTAAAGTAGCAGCCTGGGCGAGCGCATCTTCAATAATTTGCTCTGCGTGAGTAAATTGTTCGACGGTTGCGTTACCCATCATAGGTTTCAACTCGTGTTGCCGTCGAAGAAAACATTGTTTCGAAGATTTGTTTTCGGACATAAGTGTACTTTCATCACGAAATGGAATGTGACACACTA